CTTGTCAGAACAAATTTCTCAGTGAGTCTGAGAAAGGTTTGGTTTAGGAAAAAGTACCAATCAGGGTCTATCCAGAAGGGAAAACAACTTTGCTTCCATTCAAAGCATCTTACAATGCTCTCTTTAATTGAAGAGGGCTCAAAACTCAGTTATCTTTTAAGCACTTTTGAATTAGTTTTATTGTTATTTTTATTTGATCTGCCAGGAATATACTACTTTTGCATGTACATTACTCAGTGACTTTCAGAGTGTACCTTCACTTCAATAGAGTTCCAGCGGAAGAGATAGAATACAAGGTGGGGCAAAATTAGGTTGACAGGTGTTAATATGGAAAATAACACAATAATTATTAAATAATAATACAAGAAAAATTCTATGTTTCTCATCGTCACAACTGTAAACATATTTTTGCCCTAACCTGTATCTTACTAAGAGAAAATGGCAATGTTTACAGACGACATTCTAGACAGAAGTCACTTAATGGATATACAGAGCATAAATTTATAGACATAATTATATATCAGATTCAAATGTACATTTCTGATAAATGCTTATCAACTCAGGTAAAAAATACTGTGCATAAAATTACATAATTTAAGGGTTGACAATGTCTATATGTCTCTATCTAATTCCACAATGTCTCAATTATATCCATCATACTTAGAGGCTATCGAAAGGCAGATTTATCAAACGTATGAGGGATGAATTGCCATGTATCATTAAGGGCCGGGTAAAGCTCAAAGAGGGGAAACAAAGGCATTCAATCTTTGTCCACATATGTAGAAACAGACTGTGCCTCTATCATAAGTTTCTTTTCTGAGGAACTTTGAAAATTACTTGCCCAATTTCATTTATTCTTCAACTGAAGTGTTCAAACACTTAGGATCAGGATTCATGTTAAGGAAAGGCCCAATAAACAGCCATTTCTTTTCAGATGAGGAGGATAAGCACACAGAATAAAAACAATGATACTAACATGCACTCACATCTTAGTTATAAACTCATCCTAAACCATTAAAAACTTTGGCTTGTCCCTTAGTAGAACACAGAGTTAACATTTAACAAAGTGTGAGTGGGTGCTGGAGTGTATCACCTGGTTCCCTTCATTCAGAATCAAGACACTCATTCCGTGTCAGGAATTTTGAATGTGAGCACCCACATATGTGTCCCTCACTGCAGGAAACAGTTGCCTCAACCAAAGCCACAACCCCTCCTTAAAGATGGGGGCAGCAAAGACTGGCAAAGGCCGAGCACCAGGTTTCCCCCTTGCCTCAATTCTGAACCTTTTTAGAAGGTCACA